CAGCCACCTCCCCCACACCTAAATGGTAACGTCCGACACGCAAGTTATTGGCAATTCAATTGACCACATCCGTCGGAGGCAGGGGAATCTATTGGAGCCCATCGTGCCTCTAATAGCGGATTTTACACTCTCGCCCACTACTATTAAGGGCTGATTTTCTGTACAATTCCTATAGGACAGTCTTATAGGAGCTGATTGTGTAGTTCCTATAGGACTGTCATACAGGAAATCATAAAGGACAATCTGTTCTCATTATGCAGTTGAATATGAATTGTAATGTAAAATATTATGATTTGAGCATGCAATCCTATATAGCATTCCCATAGGAGTATCAAAGAATCTTGTATAGCAGTCTTATAGGAACAACAAAAAAATCCTATAGCAGTTTTATGAGAACAACAAAGAAATCCTATAGCAGTCTTATAGGAACAAAAAAGAAATCCTATAGTGATCTTATAGGAACAACAAAGAAATCCTATAGCAGTCTTATAGGAACAACAAAGAAATCCTATAGTGGTCTTATAGGAACAACAAAGAAATCCTATAGCAGTCTTATAGGAACAAAAAAGAAATCCTATAGTGGTCTTATAGGAACAAAAAAGAAATCCTATAGCAGTCTTATAGGAACAAAAAAGAAATCCTATAGCAGTCTTATAGGAACAAAAAAGAAATCCTATAGTATTATAGGAACAAAAAAGAAATCCTATAGTGGTCTTATAGGAACAAAAAAGAAATCCTATAGTATTATAGGAACAACAAAGAAATCCTATAGTGGTCTTATAGGAACAATAAAGAAATCCTATAGTGATCTTATAGGAACAACAAAGAAATCCTATAGCAGTTTTATGAGAACAACAAAGAAATCCTATAGCAGTCTTATAGGAACAAAAAAATCCTATAGTGGTCTTATAGGAACAACAAAGAAATCCTATAGTGGTCTTATAGGAACAAAAAAGAAATCCTATAGTATTATAGGAACAACAAAGAAATCCTATAGTGGTCTTATAGGAACAAAAAAGAAATCCTATAGTGATCTTATAGGAACAACAAAGAAATCCTATAGCAGTTTTATGAGAACAACAAAGAAATCCTATAGCAGTCTTATAGGAACAAAAAAGAAATCCTATAGTGGTCTTATAGGAACAACAAAGAAATCCTATAGCAGTCTTATAGGAACAACAAAGAAATCCTATAGTATTATAGGAACAACAAAGAAATCCTATAGTGGTCTTATAGGAACAAAAAAGAAATCCTATAGTATTATAGGAACAACAAAGAAATCCTATAGTGGTCTTATAGGAACAAAAAAGAAATCCTATAGTGATCTTATAGGAACAACAAAGAAATCCTATAGCAGTTTTATGAGAACAACAAAGAAATTTTATAGCAGTCTTATAGGAACAAAAAAGAAATCCTTTAGTGGTCTTATAGGAACAAAAAAGAAATCCTATAGTGGTCTTATAGGAACAACAAAGAAATCCCATAGTAGTCTTATAGGAACAACAAAGAAATCCTATAGCAGTTTTATGAGAACAACAAAGAAATCCTATAGCAGTCTTATAGGAACAAAAAAGAAATCCTATAGTAGTCTTATAGGAACAACAAAGAAATCCTATAGTGATCTTATAGGAACAACAAAGAAATCCTATAGCAGTTTTATGAGAACAACAAAGAAATCCTATAGCAGTCTTATATGAACAAAAAAGAAATCCTATAGTAGTCTTATAGGAACAACAAAGAAATCCTATAGCAGT